CTGGGGTGATTGGTGTTACTTCTGGTTTTGTTCTTCAGTGGTTTATCTGTCATGTTCAGTTCAATGTGTTTGTTGACAGAGTTCCAGTTGGAATGCCAGGCCTCCAGGAATTCCCTGGCATGTCTCTGTTTGGCTTGTGCTAGTATAGATGTGTTGTCCCAGTCGAATTCGTGTCCTTCTTTGTCCATCTGTGTTGAGATCTTTGAGAATTAGTTGTGTCTCTTGGTGGCTAGTTGGTGTTCGTGTATCCTTATTGCCAGTTTTCTTTTTCAGTTTGTCCTGTGAAATGTTTCTCACAGTCCTTTAATGGGTTATAAATCTATGCAATTTTGTGTCTCAGATGTGGATGTTCGGTATTTCGGTATACTCAAGACAATGGTCATTAGATTCTTGGCTACTGATGGAATTAAAAGATATGAGGATAACAAAAGAAGGTGGATAATGAGGTAGGAGATCAGCTGTGCTATTGTTGAATGGCAGAGCAGGTCTGAAGCACCTTCATTTCACAGCCACGTTGAGCAGATATTTGGCCCAATTGAGTCTGCACTGACTCTTCAAAGAACATCCCACCAGGACCTGCACCTCTCCAACCTTATCCCTGTAACTCTGTGTTTCCCCGTGGCTAATCCACCCAGACTGCACGTCCACGAACACCATGGACAATATACCATGACCAATCCACCTAACCTGCGCGTCTTTGGATTGTGGGAGGAAACTGGAGTACCTGGAGGAAACCTACGCAGACACACTGAGAACGTGCATACTCCATATAGTCGCCTGAGGGTGGAATCAGACCCAGGTCCCTGGTGCTGTGAGGCAGCAGTGCTAATTACTGAGCCACCGAGCTACCCAGCAGACTTTCTTCTCCAGAGGGCAGCATTACCAACCAGAGGGACTTTTTAACAACAGTGATAGCTGTGATGGTTATCATTATTGCAGACTAGAATTATAATCCAAATTCATTTAATCAAATTCAAATTCGCATCAGCTTCAATGACGAGCTTTGAACCCAGTTACCACAGCATTAGCTTGAGCCTTTGGATTATCAGCCAGGCACTAGTTCCATTACACAACCACCTCCACTCAGGTTAGCCCAAGTTTTCCTACATCTTACTGGAAAGAGTGATCACCATTCTATGTAAAATAAATGAGTATATGTTACAACACCTATCTCCATTTAGATTTGCTTCCTTCCCTGTTAACTCTTTCTTCAAAATCTTGTCCTTGCAGATGCTGGTGGAAGAAATACATTAAAGTTCTATTAGTAATATGAAGCATGCTTCTTCTTTCTTGCTGTTCCATGTATTCGGAAGGATAGATATGCTTTACCGTAGATTCCAGAATTTTGGGATTGTGACTTTTGTGTTTGCACTCTCTTATACAGTACGCATTAGGTTTTAAGTAATGTACTTAACTCATCAGCGCATGGTCCCTTGACAATTCAATGGTGTTACCATCACTGAATCCCTCACTGTCAACATCCTGGGAGTTACCATTGATCAGCAACTCAACTAAACTCCCCATATAAATGCAGTGGCTGCAAGAGCAGGTCAGAAGCTTGGAATACTGTGGCGAGTAACTCCCCAAAGCCTGTCCACCATCGACAAGGCACAAGTCAGGAGTGTGATGGAATACTCCCCACTTGCCTGGATGGGGGCAGCCCCAACAACACTCGAAGCTTTACACCATCCAGGCCAAAGCAGCCCGCTTAATTGGCACTACATCCACAAGCATCACTCCCTCCACCACCGATGCTCAGTAGCAGCAGTGTGTACTATCTACAAGATGCACTGCAGAAACTCACCAAAGATCCTCAGACAGCATCTTCCAAACCTACGACCACTTCCATCCAGAAGAACAAGGGAAGCAGATATATGGGAACATCACCACCTTCAATGTCCCCTCCAAGCCACTCGCCATCCTGACTTGGAAATATTATCGCCATTACTTCACTGTCACTGTGCCAAAATCCTGGAATTCCCTCCCTCATGGCATTGCAGGTCAACCCACAGCAAGTGGACTGCAGCGGTTCAAGAAGGCAGTTCGCCATCATCTTCTCAAGGGCAACTAGGGATGGGTAATAAATGCTGGGCCCAGCCAGTGACACCCACATCCCACAAAACGAATAAAGATTTTAAAAAAAAGACAGTAGTGAACTGAAGGTAGGGACATTCTCATTGAGATCTCCTTATCAGGTCAAGGTTATACTGTTTTGATTGTTTTGAAGCTCTCGAGCCTCTCAATATTCAAACTCTATCTGAGCAGGCCTGGGATGGTTTAGCAATTAACCATATGAGTGTGGGTTTTGTAACAAGCTATAAAGTGATATTTGCCAACCAATTGGCTGGAGTCCCAGTCACTGGAAGTCATAGGTGGAAAGGAAACTGGAGAAAGTGATACTACTTCTCATGAAAACAAAACTAAAGCAACAATGCAGATTTAAATACGCAGGATTCGTTGGAAAACTAACTCATTAGTGTCATGTTCGATTCCACCCTCGGGCAACTGTCTATGTGGAGTTTGCACACTGTGTCTGCGTGGGCTTTCTCTGGGTGCTCCAGTTTCCTCCCACAGTACAATGATGTGCAGTTTAGGTGGATTGGCCATGCTCAATTGCCCATAGTGTTCAGGAATGCTCAGTCTCGGTTGATTAGCCATGGGAATTGTAGGGTTACAGGGATAGGACAGTGGGGATGGGTCTGGGTGGTTGCTCTTTGGAGGGTAGGTTTGGACTCGATGGGCCAAATAGCCTGCTACCCCCTGTAGGGATTCTGTGATATGTTAAGTATTGCAGCATAAAAATTGGGTGGTTTGATTCGTGTCAGTGGTGCTTAATATTGAATTTAGTTTCTTAGGAAAGAATGGCGGAGCATGCAGAGAAATGAAGTTTACAAAGCAGAACTGAATGCTTCCAGGATGGTTGGAAATCTATCAATTAAATGGCTACATGATCCAATGTGATTTTTAGTCGATTAGGACCATGTTACTAACAAATCAAGAGTATATGCAAGTTTAAGTGTCAAGAATTGAGCTGTAATGACTTTTTTTTTTGTCTCTATTCTATTTAGTTTTCTAATGTATAGAATGGGTGGAAGTACAGTCTTGAAGGTGTAAATGCAACCTGCAATGTAAAGAAATATAGAAATACCACCATTCAGTCTGCTTTTGTAATGTATTGTCCTGTTGGGCTTGTTGAAAATGTCCACAATGCGCAGTATTGAGTTTTCTGCTTCCCTCCCCAGCTCCAAAATGCAGTTTGCTTTACTACTAGTTTACATTGGGACATCCTGTTTTCATATTGTGATTTGTTTGTAATGGTCTATAGTGAAACGGTGGTGCAATGTAATGCATCAAGTTAAGCATTTATTTGCCTGCCTGCATAACATGTTCTGAAACATATGATGAAGCTTCAACAGTTGGACATTTGAATTTTGTTTCAATATCTGCTAACTGAAAACTTGCCCTCTTAAATGGGTTGAAAAGTGTTGCAAACTGGAAAACAAATGTTGCCGTGCAGCAGTCACTTTAATGCTATCAGACAGTTTGTTATCAATCTAGTAACTTTAATAGCTTGTAACTATTATTGGTTAGAGACACTAAAAACTGGTCATATCAATCAGTTCATTGGAAAGGCTAAAACATGACCTCTGGTCTGGAAACCTGTATTAAGTTTCTAGTTGGATTGTAACACTTATCAGAGCACTTTTGGAACAATTGTGGAAATGCTCTGCTTTTTAGTGCTATCAAATTGTAGTGACGTTTTGCACGTGGTTTGCTGTATTGCGGCTATGTTCTGGAGTAACTCACCACAGATTTAATTTGTATGGTAATTATTAGTTGATGTTTGTAGCAGAATGGTCAAAGAACTGTTTGGTATCTGCTTTCATGATTAACCCTATTTGAATAAATCTTATTTTTCTTGGAAAATGTGCAAGTTGCCATGCTTTTCTAATTAGGCAGTTGGTAAAACTTCATGGTCGGTGTTACTGGCTGATGTGTGACGTTTTTGTTCAGTTCATCCATTGTTACTCTGCTCAAACATTGGTTCCTGGTCCTGTAATGCCTTTACTTTTCAAATTTGCATCCCCATCTTCAAATCCCTTCACTGCCTGTCCCCTCCCAATCGCTGATCTTCTCCATCTTTACTACTTCCCACCCGCTTTCACATCATTGCACCCCTCCAATTTTGGCTTTTTGCACATCTTCAGTTTTCCGTTCTCCCCATTGGTAAACTTGCCTTCAGATGTCTAGGCTCTATGTTCAAGAATTCCTAAAGCATTTTCTTCCTTTACCTTTAAGGTAACCTTCACACCCTATTTCCTTTAGAAAGCTTTTGGTCATCTGACCTCACAACTGCTTATGTGTGTCAATGTCAAATTTTCTCTTAAAGATTCCATGAAGCATCTTGGGACATTACGCTATTAAAGGCATGATATTCAGTGTTTCCTTTACCTTTGTTTATCTTTTTAATTGATTTTCCACCCTAATTTCTTCAGTCCCGTTGTGCTTTTACTTGTTCACTGCCACTGTGCTATCATTTAGCCTCATTATATCTTCCTAATGTGATTTTAATTTAGTGTTTTATTCTGTTCACACACCCCCACTGCCCCCCACCCACCCCCGCAAAAAAAAAGCACCTGATGGTGACATGGACATTTTTAGTCAGCCTTTTCATACATGTTAGAACACACCTCTGGAGCAGATGGGACTTGAGCCCAAGACTTGTAGCCTAGAGGGGAACACCACTGCTGCACCACAAGAGCGCAGATTGATGATAATCAGTTGGGTGTGAGTTGCTTTCAGGTGGTACATATTAATAGAGATCATAACTGTGCTTTATCCTCTATAGAAACAAGATTAGACTCTTGGGGCACAGCTGGCAGTGTCCATACCTCTGGGCGCAGCTCTGGTTTAATAGTCACCTGCCCCAGAGGTATGTCCTAACATAACTAAACAAGTTGATCAAGTTGATACAAGTAATTATAGAAACAAGCTTAAGGATGGATTTTCTTTTGGCACAAGGTATGCAGTGTGGCTCTCTTTTAAAAGAAACTCTGAAACGTACAGAGTCTTGGCTTCAGTCGATTATCGTTTGGCACCTGGCTTTCCAAGTTTTAACAAACTTTAAATACTCAACACATCCTATTATCTATTTTTAGCCTGGAATATTTATGAATGCCAACTAATAGAGGTGAGGTTTCTGATGGGGAGAAAGTAATATAAACAAAATGGGATGATACTGAGGCATTTCCACTCTGTTTCAAAGAGAACAAAAACAGAAGTTGCTGGAAAAGCTCAAGTCTGGCAGCATCTGTCAAGAGAAAATCAGAGTCAATGTTTTGGGTCCGGTGACCCTTCCTCAGAACACTCAGTTGTAATGTAACTCAGTTACATTAGAAAGATATAGTGAGGCTAAGTGATAAGACAGTGGCAGTGGGAGTTCTGAGGAAGGATCACCGGACCCAAACCATTAACCCTGATTTTTCTCTTCAGACACTGCCAGACCAGCTGAGCTTTTCCAGCAATTTCTGTCTTTGTTCCTGATTTACAGTGTCTGCAGTTCTTTTGGTTTTGGTTTTTGTTTCAAAGAGAATTGTGCAGCATGTGTCTTGGAAGTCTTCTCTACTCTATTTGTAAATTTTTTTTCGACTTGAGTAAACACTAATTTTTTTTCTGTTATCTTTGCCTTCTAGGGAATGACAGCCTTTCTAAACAGAAGGAATCTGTTCTGAAGTTCATAACAAAAACCCTACCTTCAGGTTCACTTTCCCTAGAGAAGAGTGTTTGCCGTAAAGAGGCAGTTCAGCAGCACCATTCCTTTCCTCCATATCCTGGTAGGAAAAGTCAAATGAATGCCTTAAAAAGCAGTTTTACTGCAAGTTTGCCTGTCTCCCATTCAAAAGAGAAAAGAAAACGCAATTCATCACCTGACATCAGGAAAAAGAAAAGAGTGTCCCTATCACAAAATTTAGATGTGACTTCTCATAAGAAAAGCTGTGAAAACAGGACCACTGATAAATACAGCAGTGCTGTGACTGAAACAAGTTGCAATGGAGTGCTTAAAGATCACAATAATGGTGTATTGGAAAATGAGGACCTACCTCTCGAGGCTGACGAATTTCCAGATTCTCGTAGTTGCTTACCATTTGATTCATTGCTGGATGAGGAAATACCCAGGCACAAACCTCCAAGTTCATATGTGAGGTTACCTGCAGAGGAGAAGGCAAAGACTGCTCTGGACAGTGCCATTTCTTCAAAAGAAAATCGTTCTGGGCTCCTTGGTAGGCACTGTTTGGTTCCTTTTGACAGTAAAAGAACACAAAGACATGAATCTAACTCTTTAACTGTTTTGCCTTTGGATGAGAAAAATAGATCCTTATCCTCTCAAGACAAGAAACAGTTGGAACGGTCCAGTGCTGTCTGCATGTCAGATACCAGTAAAGGAAGCGAGAGGAGATTGAGGGACAGTTATAATAGCATGGACAGTGACGATGATGACCATTGTAATTTAGACAGTGATGAAGATGAAAATCTGGTGGCTTTGGATGATCTCCTAACTTTACGTAACAAGCCTGTATCCAGTACACCAGAAAAGCTTGACATTTCCCTTCAGTCGCCTGCAGCCAACACACCCACAGGATTGTTCACTGTAAGTTGGTGAAGCTTAATGAAGTTTCTGTTATTCTCCAGCAGCTGACTTTGACACTGTAGGGACTCTGTGAAGTTACAGACAGTGTGGAAGCAGGCCATTTGGTGTTTCAAGTCTACCCTCTGAAGAGCATCCCCCCCCAGACCCACCCCTCTACCCTATCCCTGTTACCCTGCATTCCCCGTGGCTAGTCCAGCTAGCGTGCACATCCCTGAACACTATGGGGCAATTTAGCACGGCCAATCCACCCTAACCTGCACATCTTTGGACTGTGGGAGGAAACCGGAGCACCCGGAGGAAACCCATGCAGACTCGGGGAGAATGTGCAAACTCAACTAGCGATCATAACTCTATTACTTTTACAATAGTCATGGAAGAGGATGGGTACATACAGTAGGGTAAGGTTTATAATTGGAGGAAGGGTAATTACAATTCTGTTAGGCAAGAACTGGGTAACATAAAGTGGGAACAGATGCAGTCAGGGAAGAGCACTATTGAAATTGTTTAAGGAATGCACACTACGCGTGCTTGATATGTTTGTCCCTAGCCGGCAGGGAAGCTGCGGTTGAGTGAGAGAGCCTTGGTTCTCCAGAGAGGTCGAACAACTGGTTAAGAGGAAGAAGGATGCTTATGTAAGGTTTAGGAAACAAGAAGCAGAAAAGGCTGTAAGAGGGATACAAGTTATCCAGGAAGGAGCTGAAGAAAGGGCTTAGGAGAGCTATAAGGGGGCATGAGGATTATAAGAGATAGGATTTATAATCATCCAGAAAGGAACAATTTGATTAGGGATAGTCAACACGGTTTTGTGAAGGGTAGGTCGTG